GGGTATAAAGACATCAAAGCCCTGGTTGTTGACATCAGTGAACTCCTAAGGTAAGTGAGAGGAATACAAATGTGTGCATTTAAAAAATAACCATATGAAGAAAGGTACAATAAGTACTGAGTGGTACCAAAGAGAGCATGATATGATGGGGTAGGAAAACAGGAGAACAAAGCTCTAGTTGTGTCTCTAGCACTAACTAGGTAATTGCAGGCAAACCATTTGCCTTCTTTGAGCTTCATGTCTTCATCTATTTATTGCAGAATGAAATGTTTCACTGTGGAATAGAAAGTTCTTGCTAACTCTAAGTTCTCCAAGTTTCTGCATAGAGATAAGGTTCAATACAGCCACATCCCCAGAGACTTTTAGAAATGACAGCAATCCAACTACCGCTACTAAAGAAAAAAAATAGTGTTAGAAGTTCAGGAGTTACATGGACTTCAGATAAGGGTGTATCTGTCCTGAACCAGCTCTCTGTTTCTTGGCTCTGCTTTCTTCTTTACCAGCTTCATTGTTGTACAAGTTCCTTTGACATAGTAGAAAATAGAGCCTTGAAAGCTCCAGGCTCATATAAGCTTGCAGCTTCAGAAGGAGATATTCTTTCCTGGTATCCATATCACTGCTGGCCTTGCTTAGCTTATATGTGCAGGGAGGTAGGGTGCTCTAATTGGCCATTCTGGGTCATGACTTACTTTTGTGGCCAAAGAAGTTAACCCCTTGACTGAAAGTTCACAGGAATCACATGGAAAAGAAGAACGTGAAGTTCTCAAAGGGGAGGGATGTGACATGGAGACAAAAACAAAAACAAGTGTCTACTTATACTCTTGATATAAGCTGGGATGAGAGTCAGTGGGGGTGAACAGAAGGGGATTTTGTATTTTAAATATCAATTATAGGAATTCCTTGGCAGTTTTTTTTCAGCCATTCAAAAGCAAGCGTCGCTATTGGTATCAGCTTTTTGGAAGAGCAGCATGACCTTTATGTATTTGAAGAAAACTGAGAACATGATTTTTAAATTGCAGTAATTCTGTGAAGTTCTGAGGGTAGACTGAACTCCTTTACATATATATTTTATCAAATGTGTGAGTTGAGTTTGGCTGCATAAGAGATCCAGTACCCATTATTTATCCAGTTAAGTTTTAGCTAAGGGGTTTGGTGTTTGCCATACCAAGTTGACTCTGGAGGAACTAGATCAGTTTTCTTTAATGGTTGATAGACCCCACTATCCACCATTCCAGCTCCACTGTATCATTAAGCAATGCAATTCATTACAAGGGGCTCAGCTCTGAGAACCTCCTAATATCCATAGTGGAACAAAATGGCCACGTCCACATAGAGACGCAGTAGTGATCTTGTATCTCACAAGTACTTATTTTTTAATTTAATTTTTAAAATTGGAGTTTAATTGACATAGACTATTGTGTTATTTTCAGGTGTACAACTTAGTGATTTGACATTTATATACATTACAAATTGATCAACACTATAAGTCTAGTAAACATCTGTCATCAGGCAAAGCTATTGTAATTTTATTGACAGTATTCCCTATACAGTACATTACATCCCTGTGACTTGCATGTTTTATAACTGGAATTTTGTGCCTCTTAATCCCCTTTACCTATTTCACCCAACCCCATCCCCCTACGCCCAGGGACCACCAGTTTGTTCTCTGTATTGATGAGTCTGTTTCTGTTTTGTTTTGGGGGTTTTTTGGTATGTTTTTGTTTTGTTTTGTTTTTTAGATTCCACATATAAGTGAAATAATACAGTATTTGTCTTCCTCTCTCTGACTTATTTCACTTAACATAATACCCTCTAGGTCCATCTGTGTTGTTACAAATGGCAAGATTTCGTTCTTTATGGCTGAGTAATATTTCATTGTATATATGTGCCACATCTTCTTTATTCATTCATGGACACTTTCTTACACCATATACAAAAATAAACTCAAAATGGATTAAAGACTTTATAAGACCTGAAACCATAAGACTCCTAGAAGAAAACATAGGCAGTAAGCTCTCTGACATCAGTCTTAGCGATATTTTTTGGATCTGTCTCCTCAGGCAAGGGCAACAAAAGCAAAAATAAACAAAATGGGACTACATCCAACTGAAAAGCTTTTGCACAGCAAAGGAAACCATCAACAAAACAAAAAGGCAACCCCCTGTGTGGGAGAAGACATTTGCAAATGATATGTCCAATAAGGAGTTAATATCCAAATTATATAAAGAACTCACACAACCCAATTTCAAAAAAAAACAGTCTGATTTAAAAAATGGGCAGTGGAGCTGAATAGACATTTTTCCAAGGGAGACATACAGACGGCCAACGTACACATAAAAAGATGCTCAACATCACTAATCATCAGGGAAATGCAAATCAAACCATAATGAGATACCACCTCACACTTGTTAGAATGGATATTATCAAGAAGACAACAAAAACAAATGTTGGCAAGGATGTGGAGAAAAGGGAACGCTTGTGCACTGTTGGTGGGAATGTAAGTTGGTGCAGCCATTATGGAAAATAGTTTGGAGGTTCCTCAAAAAATTAAAACTAGAACTACCACATGATCCAGCAATTCCCCTTCTGGGTATTTATCTGAAGAAAATGAAAACACTAAATTCAAAAAGATATATGCACCCCCATGTTTACTGAAGCATTATTTACGATAGCCAAGATATTGAAGTAATTTATGTCTCACAAATATTGATAAGAGTTGTACTGAAGATAGAATTACTAAAACTGGCTGTTGTTTTGGCCTGTCTGATATCCATACCTCCTCCTTTTGTTAATAGTACGCTGATGTTTGGAAACAGTCCTTTCTGTTCTTCATCCAATCCTTCTGGGATTATCAGTGAAAGTGCTTCATACTTTCCCCTGGCCAAGCAGTAGGCAAAAGATCTAAGCTAGTCTCATTAGCTCTTCTCTTTATGGAATTTCATTTTGAGTGGAGTAATGCACAGATTAGTGTTACCCAGTATAAAATGCCCATTAGTTCATGCTACCTTCATCCCTACACCCCCAGACCAGTTGTTACTCTCTCCAGAGTCTGAATCCACTTTTCTGTTATCTATTGTTACTAGATGTATTGATAAGTTACTCTTACACCCTTCCAATAAATTCTGAATGCTTGCTATTCAGTTAGCAGCTGGTTGCTATCAGTTAGCAAGTGCTGTGTACCAAAGCATCCCCCAATTCCATTTATTCCATAAGTCATGATTCTCTGAGTTGAAGTCAGTACTGGGCTCAGCTGGGCAGTTTGACTGGTCTCAGTTGGGCTCCCATCTGAGTCATCCATGCTTCTGGGCATTTGCAGGCTACCAGTTGGGGCAACCTGCAGGGTTTCAGGGGTGGAAAGAATACTGGACCATATGTCTCTTGTCATCTGGCAGGCTGGCCTGGGCTTGTTCACATGGTAGTGAAAGAGTTCCAAGTGGAAAAGTGAAAATGCATGAGGCCTTTTGGAACCCTTATTGCAGATTGGCACAGAATTGCTTCTGCTGTATTCTATGTACCAAATCAAGTCAGGAGGCAAGCCTAGATGCAAGATACATGTGACCTCTTGATGGAAGTAGTTACAATGTCGCAATGCAATTGAGTAAGGATGCAGAAAGAGGAATGATTGAGGGCACTTAATTTACCACACCCCAAGTTGGTTTCTGTACCATATAGCTGAAAATCCTGATGTGCCAACAAAAAACACTTTAAAAATACACCCTAATACATTGGCATGCTCCTGTAACTTTCTTGATGTAACTCTGATTATGGGTGTTTGGGGAGCCAACATCAGCCGTCTACAGATAGCAAAAACTTTCATCCTTAATCCCAGTACACTGTGTCTTGAGGGGACTGCTTGCCACTCCTCTGTATTTCTCTTAGCTGTGCAATCTCAAAGGGCCATCACCATCAATTATATCATCTACCAGGTCTCCTGAAGTTTCAGGATATTGCCTGCCCAGTTATGACATATACCAGCGTGACTTGGTTACCCAGTGTATTACTGCTTCCCACTCCATCTAGTAGCACTTGCTAAAAACATTTGCATTTGCCTTTCTGGGGTACATATTGAATTTCTGTACGTTATATTTTCCTTTTATGCAGCACAGCCTCTTGGTAAGCTATATCAATCACAGAGTAAGGCAAATGCTAATGTTAATGTGCGCTGCTGTAGGTATTTCTTGCCAGTTTTCGTCCAAGTTCTAACTCAGCCCAGCCCTCTTTAGGTTTGTGAGATCTAATAAGATCATAGCGCAAGGTGGTATAGCTGCAGGCAGAAAATTCTGCTTGCCAAATTCATTTTCCTTTATAGCAAGTTCATAAATTAGTCTAGGGCACTGAGATACCATGGTTATACGCATGCATTTAGACAGAACTCTCTTCCAGCCACTAATTTCTCTGAGATGGTGCCAGACAGTTGGTCAGATGTAGCATCAATGCTTCCCACCCTCTCAGTGTGAAATGATAATTAATATGAGTTTACAGTTAAGGTGGTGTTCTACTTCCATTCATAACACCCATTATTCCAGGGTGTTTTAATTTGGTTAAAAAATTGACTCTGGAGGTGGAACTTGGCTTGGGAGCTTATTTTAAGAGCGAATGGTTTGTTTCTATTTTTTTCTTTCAAACGAAAAAAGGTTTTTTTTTTTTAAAGAAAATTTTGTGTTGCTTTTGAGTTACATAAGCATTAGGCCAGATTTCTAAAACATTGGTATGATTTTGGATTTGTAATTGAGTTGGTCTCATTTTCTGGTATCGCCACCAGACCTAGGACCTCCCAGGGCTTCTTAGCTAGCTTAGGTTTGGCAGAATCCAGATCTCTACCGCATCTCACCAGTTGGGATCAGAGGGCATTTCTTTCATGTTGCTTCTTATACTTAAATGTATCAAATTCTCTTTCCGGACAACGGTTTATACAAGCTACTGACTGAATCGAGTTTGAAAGTAAGAGGCAATGCATTTTGACATTGTATTTTGATGGATATTTTACTTTCTTATTATAGATCTGCTGGAGGAGACTCACAGAAAAGATGAAGAAATGGAATCTCTGCAGGTAAAGTAAATTCTCCAATAGGGCAGGTATCTTTGGTTTAAACATTTGTTTTTACTCTGTTAGCCTTCATTATTGTCACATGCAGACCACTAAGGCAAATGGAGTAAAAAAATAAATAAATAAAGAGATCTTTGAAACCCAAGTTGGAATTTGCTTCATTTTGGAAGTGTTTGAGAACATTTATAATCTCTGAAAGCAGGAAGCCAACTCAGTCTCTGTGCTACTCTTGAAAGGAACCTTTATTCCCTGGTATAGCTTAGTAGGAACTGCAGCATTAGGAAATGAAAGCAACATCTTTACAAAGTCCTTTCCCGAAAAGCAGGGCTAATGAATGAGGATGAATTCATGGAATCTACATTTTCAAGTGAAGATCAAAAGTATTCTGACTCCATGAATACCATCTACTAATGACCAACCAACAATATTAACACATATATTGAGCTTATCCTTGTATGCCTCTCCGTTCACTATGGATGTATACACATTTCTTGGACTGGAAAATTGTGTTTGAAAGATTGCACTAGAGTTTTAATTGACATTTCCATGGTATGAGCAATTGATGTTAACTTGACATCTGACAGAAGTTCTCTCTTCCTTTTACATTGGGCTAGCTTACAAATGGGTAACTCGAGTGTCTATCTTTATTAGGGGAAACAAAATCAGTTATACTCACATGACAGAACCAATTCACTTAACGTCACAATGGGGATTAAGAACAGTAAATACTTTGGACATTTAAAGTTCTTCCTGGGCCTGGAGCTGCAAGGCAAGACTGGAGAGTGATATAATGAGCTGGCTTGAGTGCTTTAGAGGTAGAGATGTTTGCTTCTGGTGAACAAAAGATGAGTTAAGCAAAGCTCAAAGAGCAAGAGAAATGTTCTTTAATTGGAGGTTCTTCTATTTGATGTTGTATCTGGTGAGAGAAAATTATATAATTGAACTGAAGAATGATTAAGAGGAGTGTGTTCTGCATACCTAATAAACGTAGCAAGTGTTAGCCACAATTTGTACAGGTTGAATTCTTTTAACATCTTGTGCTGTATTCAGGTATAAAAAGAAAGTTCAGGGCTTCCCTGGTGGCGCAGTGGTTAAGAGTCCGCCTGCCGATGCAGGGGACACGGGTTTGTGCCCCGGTCCGGGAAGATCCCACATGCCGCGGAGCGGCTGGGCCCGTGAGCCATGGCCGCTGAGCCTGCGCATCCGGAGCCTGTGCTCCGCAATGGGAGAGGCCACAACAGTGAGAGGCCCGCGTACCGCAAAAAAAAAAAAAAAGAAAGAAAGTTCAGTCTGGGGTTAGGAAAAAAATCTCAAGTGTATACTTGCCCTGTCTATCTCTGAGAAATTAATGTCAGCAATGCTTATTGTTATAAAGAGCAAAGGTATATCTGTGTACTAATTGTATATAGTGAGAAGGTGATTAAGGCTTTATTATGCATTTTGGTTATGCATTAAGTTTACCATTGGCCCCAGAATACCACAATGAGAATAAGCATATTTATTGAGTACTTAGTACATATCTGGCCTTTTGAAATGGCATCATAAACCTTTTTTTAGTTTATTTCTCTCACAGTATGAATGTTAGAACCAGAAATCCTGTTAAATGTAATAGCCTATGTTGTTTCTCGAATATTTATTAAGTACTGGCAGCATTTTCTACCAAAACGTCCACTGAGTGCACTAGAATGCACCAGCCAACTAACTATGGATGTTTAAACATAGAGTGTCCAACCTGATGTCCAACAGCAGAAGAGTTCAACGTTTGCACTTCGTAGCGGCAATTAGTGCCCAATACTAACACTGTTAAGAGCAAAGAAGGAGCTTAATACCTCTCAGAGCGTACAAGCGTGCAGGGACACATCACACAAAGCCTTGTATTTTAAAGACTAGAGGAAAATCCATCGAAAAGGGCCTCCGTTCCTGAGTTTCCATATTCAAATATAAATATCACAGGTGATATTTTTGAGAAGATTATTAAAGTATACAGGTAGAAGTCTTACAATCACAAAATAGAACTCTGGGGAGAAAAAGAAAAAGTAGTTTTTTAAAAATTATAGCACTGGGCTTCCCTGGTGGCGCAGTGGTTGAGAGTCCATCTGCTGATGCAGGGGACGTGGGTTCGTGCCCCGGTCCGGGAAGGTCCCACATGCCGCGGAGGCCCGTAAGCCATGGCCGCTGAGCCTGCGCGTCCGGAGCCTGTGCTCCGCAATGGGAGAGGCCACAGCAGTGAGAGGCCCGTGTACCGCAAAAACAAAAAACAAAACAAAACAAAAAATTATAGCACTAAGTACTGGATATTGACCACTTTGAGTTTTAAATCTTGGCTCTGCTTATGATTCACTAGGTAACCTTGAGTAATTTTGCTGTGCCTATTTTCTTATCTGTAATATAAAATCGTAAAACTGTCTTCCAGAAGTGTTTAGTGTGCATTAGATTATCCCAGAAGGGAGAGCTAAATATTTCATTACAATTTACAGTGTTAGCAAATCCCCATGTATCCAAATTGAAGTCAATTTTATTTACTCGTTATCATCATATAATTACGTATAACAGCCATTCTACATTTAATGTTATCCTCCTTAAGGGTAGGAGGTGTTTATTTATCTCTAAACACTTCCCAGTTCCTTTAAATAAAAGGTGCTCCATTTACTCATTGAACAAATATTTATTGAGTACCAGTTCTGTGCAAGGCACTGTACTGGGCAAGCTGCTTATGCTAGATAGTTTGTCGCCCTTTATACCAGAATTAAAGAAAAAGAATTTTAAATAGATGTTTATAATAAAATATTAAAAAATGATATTAGAGAGGATGTATACATCATTGTGGGAACATATAACAGGACCTCTCTTTGGTAGAGATACAGGTAGGTTGGGTGCAAGTACAGGGGGCTGAAGGTGGGTAGGTTGAGCAGGGGTGGAGTGGCAACCCCAGTCGGCTTCCCAAAGGAACCAGTATTTAAATGATAATCAGGAGTTAGCATTGGTGGGTTTGGAGTAAAGGTAAGTTTTAGGCAGTGCGAAGGATATGGGAATGCCTGAGGTAAAAGCATCAACTTCATGTTTAAGGAACTGAAAGAATTTCAGTGTGGTGGAGTATAGTGTCTGAGAGAGGAGAGGCAAGACAAGAGTTTGTAAGGTAAACAGAGGTCTAAAGGATCTCATAAAGGAGTTGGAATTTTACCTTTAGTATATGGGAAGCCAGTAAAGGGTTTGAAACAAGAGAACAATGTGATCAAATTTTCATTTTTAACAAGTAACTGGCTATAAAGTCCAAAACCATTGGGGGCAGGCAAGATTGAAACCAGGGAGACCAATTAAGCAAGTGTTCATGAGAATGTTGCCGAGACATGACAGTGACTTGGATTGGGTGGTAGCAGAGTGTGTGAAGAGGAATGGGTGGTTTCTTAGTATAATTTAGGATATAAAAATTTAGGGAACTTTTAGATTGTTAGGGAGTATAAAGAAAGGAGTTAAGAATGACTCTTTGGTTTCTTGATTGGGCAACTTCATGGATGGCTGTGCTAGGTCATGAGATAAGAGGAAGTTAATTAGTTCAATTTTATGGTATTCTGAGTTTGGGCACCTTGAAACATCCAGGTGGCAATGTCCTATATTGAACTGGACATGCAGAATTTGGTGTCATCAGATCTGGTCTCTGTATCACATAGAGATGATACTAAAAGTCATAGGAGTGGGACTTCCCTGGTGGTCCAGTGGCAAAGAATCCGCCTTACGATGCAGGGGACAGGGGTTCGATCCCTGATCAGGGAACTATAGATCCCACATGCCACGGGACAACTAAGCCCGCGTGTCGCAACAACTGAGCTCACATGCCTCAACGAGAGAGCCCACGTGCCGCAAACTACAGAGCCCACACGCCCTGGAGCCCGCACACCACAACTAGAGAGAAGCCCATGCACCACGATGAAGAGCCTGCATGCCTCAACAAAGATCCCGAGTGCCGCAACTAAGACCCGACACAGTCAAAAATAAATAATAAATAAATTTTTAAAAATGAATAAAAGTCATAGGAGCAATGAGAACTCCCAGGGAAGTATGTAGAATAAAGAAATGAAAACTTAACCCTGTGGAACACCAACACTTAAATAACAGGCTAAGGATGAAAATCCTGCAAAGGAGTCTAAGATCTAAAGAAAATAAATTCTAGGAGCATAGTGTCATGAAGCTTAACAAATAATATTTCAAAGGGCAAATAATCAGTAAAGCTGAATAAATATTTGTTTAATCCTTGAATCTACTTAGCTAAGGGGTTTAGCTTTTAAAATAAAAAATTATTTTAAAATAAAAAATTGTAATTTCCTATCATATTTATGAAACAAATCATTCACTTTTGTAAATATCCACTAGGTAGCATAATGCCTTTCCATAGTAGGTACTCATTAAATTTCTGTTGACTAAACAAACAAATGAATACCACCCTGCTGGCCTCTTATTTACACAGAACCTATTCCTGGTTCATCTTTAAGGTCTACCCATTAAAAAACAACCACCATCCCTGTCCTAGAGTTCATTTTTGTTTAAAAAACTGGGGGGCGAATTCCAAGTTCTGTCATTCCTGTACACATACATACACACACACACAAACACACACATACAGTTACTTTCACTCTCCCTCCTTCTCTGTATCCTCTTCTGCTCTCCCTCCCTCCATGAATGTAATATTGAAACAAAAGGTCAGTATTTGTCACAGTGGTAGGAATCCGTGGGAACAGAAAAGGATAAAATGGCGAGGGTGGGGACAGCAGCAGAGAGGAGAGTGTTTTCAATCTTCAGAGGAATCACAAACAATGGAGACAAACATATTGGGTGATTTTTACAATACAGCCGGTAATTACCAAAATTCTTCACTGGAGCTTAACGTTGTCTGGCTTTGTGTGTGTGTGTGTGTGTGTGTGTGTGTGTGTGTGTGCGCGCGCGTGTATGTGTGCGTGTGTGTGTGTGACATTCATTTGCAGTTACATTGTGCTGCTCTTCTTAAAAAC